GCCTACCTACCTGTTGTAGTGCTGTACAGGCATTAAGACAGTATAGCAGTGGAATCAAGGACAACAATGTTGTTTAAAGTCACCATCATGCCTTCCAAGATACTAATCCCCAACCATGTGCTGTTTTCCCCCCCTCCAACTGCAGCTCAGCTTCTCTCTTGTGTACCTCTGACCCTCCAAAATGTGCAGACGAAAGACAACTGTTCACAAATTAGCTTTGTGTACATACAATTGACCTCACAGCTGAAAACTATACTTTTATAATTTTCTTATTGCAGTAAGTGTAAAGTACATGCAAGTTTAGTTTTATTCTAGTGCACTTTGTTTATATCTCAGTACATACTGAACCTCTCTCGTCAGAGAGACATGGGCCCAGCAAAATCCGTAGTCTGGCAGGACCACGGAGGTTGCTAGACCAGAGAGTCACAACTGCAGAGGTTGAGTGTGGCTGGAAATGGAGCCGGTTCGGTCAGTAGCAGATCACAGGGCAAGTGACCTGGAGGTAGAGAGCCCTGGAAGCAGGTGGCAGGGAGCCCTGGGAGCAGCTGCCATCCACATACAGTAGTGGGGAGCCCCAGAAGCAGCTGTCACTCCACACGGTGGTGGGGAGCCCCAAAAGCAGCTGTCACCCTGCATAGTGGTGGGGAGCAGAGTGCCTATGAGGAAGCTGGGGGTAGCAGAGCCAGGCAGGTGGGCCAGAAGAGGTCAGGCCTTCGGGTTTTCCTAGGGCAGCAGCCAGGAAGAGAGTCCTGGGTGAGCCCTGATATCTAACCTCCCCTGGTCCAGCAAATTCCCTTGTTTGGAACCACTCAGGTCCCAAGGGTGCCAGACTAGGAAGGTTCAACCTCTCAAAATATTGAACATTCATAATTTATCATCATGCATGGACATCATTCAAGAGCTAGATTCAAATTCATAAGGGAGGCAAATGCCCCTTTTATGGGGCTCATGCTCCTTTCTGCTAGACTGCTGCAGCACCATACTGACATAGATTTATCCTGCTTCCCAGAGTAGCTTTATAGTCACTGCTTTGCACAACAGAGCATTCAAATGTGAAATTTCCTTTACAAACTCCTCAGAACTTCAAATTAATTGATAAACAATTTCAGGCAGCTTGAGGATCTGGTGTGCTATGTTCTTTGAAGTGGGGGGGGTGTGTGTCTCAAAATAAGACCAACCCCAGATGACTTTTTACCAGCCTGCCTGCCTCAGTAGATATACCGTCCTTGATGAAAATTATAGAAGTGAGAGAAAGAGGACACTAGTTGAGATACTTAAAGCAAACTATGGGATGTAGGTGGGGATGCCTGTTTGGAACCTGGAAAAGCAGAGGTTGCAGAAGGGAACACTTGGGAAGTTATTCTGGTGAAAAATTAGTGAAGAAAGCTTTTTTTCTGCTGTTCATCCTCAGTTTTCGTTCCCCAGATTCAAGTGTTTGGCCAACCTCTGTGTTTGCAGCAATATTTTCCCTTGAACGCGCCTTTCATTCTTTTTGCCTTCAAGTTTCCTTTGTGGTAAATAAGTACCCAGGACTGTTCACAGCATAATAGATATGGTCACATCAAAACACAGGTAGCACTAAAACCACTCTGGTCAGTGACACAATGTTTCTCTTTATACAGTCAGCCATCTTGTATTGCCTTCCTCACAGGATTGAGATACGACTTAAACGTTTGTGAGTGCTTTCAGATCTGCACATAGTAAACACTCTAAAAGTGCAAGGTAAATTATTCTCAGATGTTTCACCGTACCCACATCACCATCTTAAGTCTTTTCTGACATTTTAAATTAACTAGTTTTCTGATTTGTTAATAAAGGGTCAATTTTTTCCCTAATCATGGATTTACTAGTTTTTAGGATACTATATAGCAGTTAAACATTTCTTTTTTAAAAAATTAAGAACACATTTCACGCAAACTGACTTTTTCCTTTCCTCAATCCATTATGAAAACAGAAAGAAAAATCTTTAGCTTAAAAATTCAGAAGACACACATACCATACTGGCCAAAGTGTACAAAGGTAAAAGCATGAACATTTATTTTTAGCAACAGAAGAATTTTAGCCAGTGAAGCTTTTATCAAAGTCTGCTAAAATATCATTAGGTTGCTTATAAGAATGATTTAATTATAGTCCTTGTTAAATAAAACCTGCCACTGACTACAGACTTGTCATCTTTTTTACTCACTTTGTTTTGTGTGTGTGATTAATGTAAGTTAGTTAGTGCCTGTCCTGGTTATAAATCTTCACATTTTAAAACAAAACATTAAAAAGGTATTAGATGATGTTGCATATACTATTTCATTGTAATTGAAATAGAAGTAGAGGGGGGACTTTTGCATGCTATTTTAATGGCTACAGATTTGCACTAGTTTGATTTCAAATAATCAAAACACAAAAGGGATGAAAATACTAACTTACGACTTTTTTTAAAACAACAATTTCAGGCATTTTAATGCGTTTTTCAAGAAAGTCATGAGTTTCATTTAGGTTATTTACACATATTATGGCACTCTGATTCTTTTAACAGGTATTTAATTACTCAGGATATCTAGGCATAAAATCAGTTGGCTAAAATTCTCTATTCTAGCAAGAAAATTTTTTGTCTACACCAAACATCTTTATTTCCTCAAATCACTTTTTCTGAAAAGACGGACCAAACTGTGATTTCTCCTACTTCTCATCTGCCTATGTTGCCATTGACAAAGATGTAAGTCAACTTTTAATTTAGATCCCTGGTAATTTATTAACACACACACACACGAAAGCAATACCTCAACCACTATCATCAAAACAAGAACTGTCCTGCTACTTATTTAATATATCAATGTTTAGTTATCCATTCTTCTGAAGGGCTATTTCAATCTTAGAAGAAATTACACAAGCTAAGAAAGAAGTCAAATTCAATTAAAGGAAACAATTTACAATGGTAGCATTTTCTCCATGTAAGGCATTATATGACATCCACTGGCCTGGTATCCAACTATACATTTTAATACACTGCAGTTATTTAAAAAGTAGCATATATATCAATCCAGAGAGATAAGAACAGTTAAAGGACACAGATTACGTACATTAAAACAGGCCCGTATATTTTCATATAAATCCCACAGTCCTACTAACACCGTAGAGGGTTTCTATTGCTTTCTTAATTCATCTGAACTACTATATATTGTGAGGCTTTAAACAGGAGCAGCCCTGGAGGAGAAAATTACACTGGGAAGGGAAAAGAAAGTTATGGCAAGTAAAAAAATTCAAGCCTTTTTTAAAAAAAACCTTTACTTGCAAAATTAAGCCGCATGCTATTTTATGATTTATATTTTACTCTAAAAAGACTAATTAGACAAAAAAATAAAACCCTAAAAATGGCAATTCTATAAATAATAAACATTTTGATTTCACTAAACTTTAATGAAAAACCATCTGGTAATTAAATACTTGCTACTGTCCATTACGTTGATGAACTTTATTAAGGTTAAAACTATAACAAAGTTCATCCTAAAACATTTTGCAATCCAAAATTATTTTCACTCAAGGAGTGTCTAAATAAATTGAATGCTATGAATTACAAGCAATCTTCAGAAGCAGACTCACATTCATAAAACTTTATACATCTTTTTAGAACTAAGATATTTATACTACTAAAAAAAAAATCAAACATGCATCACTTCCATACGCCCTGATATCATGATTTATATTACATTATGTAACACCTTTCTTCTAAACAGCAGCAGTTTTATTATACACTTGCTCCATTTTCTTTGGATTTTTGATCTTTATCTTCATTCTTTACAATATCCTATAAAAAGGGAAAAAGGTGTAGTGTAAATTCTGTTAGCAGAGTCAAATACGTTTTAAGACAATTATTATTTCAGCTGTAACACACAATTCCTTCCTGAAAAATGAAAGGGCTAGAGATTAATAAGCTGAGCACAAACTTGGATCTTATAAAAGAAATTCAACATTTCTCAAAATGCCAAAGAAAACATCTAGAATGCAATGTTCTGCAACCAAAACCTTGTTACCTCATGCCAATACATGAAAATCTGAAACTTACTAAATTAGCTTATTTTCATTGTTCAAAATAATGAGAATAAAAAAACTAAAATGTGATCAATAAAAAGCAAACTAGACTCCTAAAATCAGTATTAATGATATAAGATGCTCTTTTTAACATGTTAATTACATTTAAAAGAACAGCTTTCTTTAAATTACTGGATCCATTCAGTTACTGATCATCTTCCCCTCATGCAACTACAGGTTGGACCTCCAAAAAACAGGACTCTCTCATCCAGCAACAAGATGTTCCTGGGCCAGGGAGTCCAGGCTAGGAGCCCCAGTCTCAAGAGGGCTAGGGGCTCAGAGTTGCTGGGCTGGCACTGGGGCTGGAGCCCTGGTAGCACATCCAGGGCTGTGGCAGCCCCAGTAGTGGGGCCAGGCCAGAGACATGGCAACTGCGGTAGTAGGGTGGGAGCAGGAGCCATGGCAGCCCGGATAGCAGAGCCAGGGCTGCAGCAGCATGGCAGCCCAGCGCAGGGGTGGCTAGGGTTGGCAGTGGAGAACGAAGGCAGGCTGTGGGGCTGGTAGAAAGGAACCTCCGCTGGTCTGGCAAACTCCCTCGTTCGGGATCGGGCAGGTTCCAAGGACGCCAAAGCAGACAGGTCCAACCTGTAGGAAACTCATAGGTCAGCATCACATCTGAACAGCAGCTTCTGTGAGCCCTCCCAGAGACATTTCTGTGGTGAAATTAATTACGGAGAAACTACCATCTTTTCATGGATAAAGTTAAGCCTAGCTTACCTTTAAAAGTCTGACTTGGTCGACTGCCCTGATCTTCAAATCTACAATTCTCCTGAAATTTCACTTAGTGATTTTATGTTGTGTATATTTTTTCTGGTATATCAAACAAATCTGGCATGTTTTCTAACCTTTATTTTTATCTTTCTTTCCAAAATGCCATGTGTCATTAAATCAACATATGGCTAAAAGCAAGGAACTTTTAAGTTTTAATAACACCTCTGCCATGGAGTGTCACGGAAGGTACATCTACACAGCAACATTATTTCAAAATAACTTAGTCCACGTATACACAGCAGCCAGTTATTTCGAAATAGTGTCGAAATACCATCAAGCGGGAGGACTTTTTACTCCGACTCCTGTAACCTTCATTGTACGAGGAGTAAGGGAAGTTGAAGAAAGAGTGCTCTATTTTGAAATAAGTACTGCGTAAAGGCTCCCAATTTCGAAATAAGCTACGCAATTTGCGTATCTTATTTTGAATTAAGCCATGCTGCATAAACACAACCTAACAGCCTACAGATGCTTACCCATGGCCACAAAGTAAGTCATCACAAACAGGATTAGAACTTCAGGCCTCCTGACACCTAAAGTTCTATGCCTTATAGTCACCACACCAGAATGCCTCACATGCAAGTCTCTAGAAATATGTTACCAACCTACATCACAAGGATTCCCACATGATACTTTTGCTCAACTCAGAATTTAAGGAGGTGCATGGGACAGATTTCAACCAGTGAATGGTGATATGAAAGCAGAATTATGGTGGTTTTAGATACTTGAAGAGTTAATTTTCACCTAAAAATAAAGTTTCCTGGTTTTCAGAATTTTTTTCAACTATGTCACTCTATTAATAATTTCCTTTCCATAAATGACCAAAACATCTTTAGAGTCTTAACTACAGATTAATCTTAACTACAGATTATGCACATTTGGGAATATTCTAAAATGCATTTTAAAATAGTTTAGTTTATAAAGCAGCTACATATAGCAATTAAAGAGTTGCAAGATTCTAACCTTTTTAAGAACGCTGTGTATTTCATCCATAACCGTGGCTAAATGTTTGATTGTCTTATTCAGCTGGCCCTCAAATTGCAAATTGGTATCTTCTGAGGTCTTCAAATTTTCTTGTAGTTGGCTGAGATCCTTTTTTACTTCTTTAAGCTCTCCAGACAAGCTTTTGTTAGAATTCTCCAACTGTAATATGGACTTTTCATCTTCATCTGAAAAACAAACAAAAAACACTCCAAACCAATCTGAAATCAAATATCTTATACTATGCCTCTTACCATTCCTTTCTGCAGCCTATAACAAAACAATACAACATTTAAAAATAATATTAAGCACTAATAACATATTACAATTAATATTTAAGCTCCCCACAATTTGGGAAGTAAAATAAGCTCTACGTCATACAGAGCCACATGAGGTATTAAATAATTCACTCCCCAGAAAAAGTCCTTGGGTAAAATAATTGATATTTTTATGCAATTCAATACTGAACTCTGACCTTATTAGTTGTTCTTTGTATAACATGGATTTGCACTTGATTTGATCAGAAAAGGTAAATACCACCAAGGACTCTAACATGGCTAACAATGAATATGACAAAATGGTTTTTACCCATAAAATCTTATACCCAAATAAAACTGTTAGTTGTTAATGGTATTCCAACCTACCTGAATGGCCAATCGAAAGTATTATCTTTGCAAGTTCAAAGTGCGTGTGAGAAAAAATTTAATTTTACAACACTGTGTCAAACTAAATTTTAGAACATTTGAGTGCTAATTCCTGTGTAAGTAGTATTTTATAATTATTTCAAAACGATCATGGTCTAATCTTTTATAGATGTTAGCGTGTACAATTAACTGAGAAGTCTAGGCTTATCAGTTAATCCTAACGACTACACTCACCCCTTCCTGCTGCCTCTGAATCAGTGGCAGCAAGGGGGAGGAGGAGAGATAGGAGACAGTGTCCATGGGGAGCTGGCTTTTAAGATGGCTCTCTGCACATGCTGGTTCCACGCAGTTGCTGCCCCCCAACTTGCTGCCTTCCTACAGAGGCAGAAGCACAGGGGAAAGCAGATGGGAGCTAGTTCCCAGCTTTCCCACCTGCTCCCTCCCCCCGCACCATGTGTTAACACGTACCCACTAAAAAAAAATCCAGTGGTTACACAAATACACATTACCGTCTTTTAGCAAATATACCCTGCACCTGAATATACCTCGCGTTTTTTTTCTTTTTGAATTAAAAAAATCGTGTATACCCCACACACGAGTATAACCCGCGGGGTATACAAGGCTGTGCCGGGGGTATATTTATGGCGTGGAGGGAATTAGCCAGCCACTCTGCCCAGTTCCTCCGCAGCCATAGGAAGGGGCAGGGGGAGTGCTCATCCGGCTATGCAGGAACCGGGTAGTGTGCTCCCCCACCTAGCTCCTGTGCAGCCGCCAGCCTCCAGGAGGGGGAGCACTTACCGCCCGGTTCCTGCACAGCCAGATGAGTGCTCCCCTGCTCCTTCCTATGGCTGTGGAGGAACCAGGTGGTGAGCACTCCCCTGCCCGGAGGCTGCAGGAGCTGGGCGGGGCAGCGCTCACCGCTGAGAGGCTGTGCAGGAACCGGGTGGTGTGTAAGAAATTTTCTGTCTACCCTACCGGGGGGGGGGGGAAAAAACTAATATAACCCGTGGGTTATATTCATTAAATTATGGTAGTTTACATCCCTAATATATTCAAAGTACATTTTCAAACCTGTTTTCTCTTCTAAAAGCTGAAGTTTTTGTTCTATTTCAGCCCGCACTCTTTCACTCTTCTCTAGCTTCTGCAAGAGGCTCCCTACATCCACCATAGCTCCATTGTACACAATTAGGCCAACATTTTCTTCTGTGCCCTTAGATTCCTGTTTTATAGTAGGAGATGGTAGCAGTAATCTGTTTCCTAAAATAAATTAAGTAATGTTACAAAATATGTAAAACCATGAAAATTGTGTTAGTTTTCAACTCATCAGAATATTAAAAATTACCAAACTCGAACCTTCTGCCTTGAAACATCTAAAAACAAAAAAGACCCAAACCATAAGTATTTGAGGACCAAGATCAATATGTGCTCTCTGAATATGTGGGGGAATAAAAATCACGATGAGTCATGTGGGGGGCCTGAAAAGAGCAAATACTGCTTGCATGCATTCTTTCCCATCCTCCCCTTTTGCTAAAGGATGGCTGCATGATCTGGACTCTATGAGAAGGGTAAAGTGGCTGCCCTCTGCAGGTTTAGTGTCCACAAACATGTTCCCAATAGGTAAGTAATCCTGATAATCAAGCAAGTTCATCTACTTTCCAGTTCTAATATATGTAGTTGCACAGTAAACACAGCAGGAAACATGGGGAGCCTGAAGTTCTGGATTCTGAAAACTGGCCAAGATCTATGTAGACCCCACAGGATCTGCTCGTTTGAAGGGGTAAACTTGTAATTTTTTCCAAGGGAATACATATTTCATCTACTCCTATCTCCATAAACACAGCAGTGACTTTAAGTGAAGCTTTGCAACCATGCAAATACCTAACAGTGGTTCTCAAACTTTTTCACACCTCTTCCATACCCCTATCTGAGCCCCCTCTCCCATCCAGCCACAGTTGGGAGCTGGGGAAAGGAGCAAGGGACATGGTTGGGGCTGCAGCTGGGCCATGGTTGGGGATGCAGTTAGGAGAGGAACTGCAGCTGAGTGCCAAGGGCTGATGCAGGGAGCAGAGCTGTGGCATAGGCTAGAGTAGAGCTAAGGGTATAGCAGGGCTAGAAACAGTCTCTTCCCACCCCCTTGGGCTCACCCAGGCCCCACCAAACCTCTCTGAACATTTGTCTGCACCCACCCTGGATAGGCACGCCCTGCAGTTTGGAGGGAGGGGGAAATCACTTACCTAGCATATCTTCCTGCAGGGCTTCTGACTCTTCCTGATTTTCTTCATCTTTTGAGGTATCAGTTAATCTTCTGTAAAAGCAAGATTCTCGAAGTACTACCTTATTAAGTAGTTTCTTAACCTAAAATATAGCAAAGGAAATCAGTATTACCTTCTTGAATAATTCTATGACAATTTCATATATTTAAAATAGTATTTTTAAAACAAATATTTGGTTTATTGAAAATATAAAATAAAGTGATTTGGTTTACTGAAAACATCAAATAAAGTGATTAAAATGCAAAATGCCAATTAGACTACCTGAAAGAGGCTGACTGCAAATTTAAACAAGTCTGGATAAATTAATATTTTCGGTAGCACTAACCTGAGATTTTAAGAAGCACGTAATTACGTAGTCGATACAGTTTGTATTGCCTACACAATTAGTTGATAAGGGAAGGCACTCACAAGGAGGCAGCCTGGCTCCTACTACATTTAAACTGCAGAGCTGTAGCAGGGGTACCTGGGACCCACCATGGACAGGGCTGCGGCGGAACAGTCTGTTTGGGGTGGACAGGGGCTGTGTCACTGCAGCAGCTCCTGTCCAAGGGGGGGGTCCCACCTCCCCGCTGGGACCTCATGGACAGGGCCTGCTTGCCAGAGCAGCCTCCTCTGCTCCCCCTTGCTGCATCTGATATACAGGTAGTGGGAGGAGGAGGAGAAGAGGAGAAATGCAAGTAGTCCACTTGAGACTACTCTTTTACATCTCTAGTATATATGTAACTTTTACAAAAATATTACTTTGGCTGTGTATATATTCTGTACAGAATACCATAACAAAAAGAAAATCATTAAGGTTGCAAAGCATTCAAATATCAGGAGGCAATAAAGTTAAGGCTGCCTGTGCACATATTATGAAACAACCTCTAAATATTTGATTATATACTCTATCTGCAGCATTCCTACCACATTGCAAAATACACTTCTATAGAACTATAAAACAGAACCTGAGCACGTGAAAGATGTAGTCCAAGTGTATACAGTATCTCCTCCATATCCTTTTCAAGAAGGTATCCACAATGACTTTGATCAAAATAAACAAAAGCCATCAGAAGATCCCTGTTAACTGTAATCATCTGTGTCTTATCTTTCTCCTGTAAAGAACACATTGTATATTAATTAGTAAGTTACACTACCCATATTACTTATAAACAATGAATAGAGTGCTTGGGTTAACCAGTTAGATTCCCTGTACAAATTTTACCATTTCTTTTATGAAGCAAATGTACTATTATTTCCAGAATTTACATAGTATGCTCATTAGTATAATATGGCTTTATTTAGTATGACATCTCTCATACAAGCTATATCAAGAAATGATAAACAGAATTAAAGCACAGAAGAGTTTTTTATTCATGTAAAGAAGAAAACACTCTTTTTTCTTTTGCTCAGGCTAGCATGGTTCTATCAAACTGCTCAAACACCACCCCCCTAAAAAAAAACAATGATACACTAGTGTGTTCAGACAGTGCTCCCTCACAGTCTCAAATGTTTGAACAGAATTATTTTCAAAAGAAAATACCCATAAACATGATAAATGAACATCAGAATCTTTGATCTACAGTTCTGCGTGCATGCTTACCATTGATTTTACACTTCCTTTGCTTAACAAGAGAAAAGGAGTATGATTGAAAATCTGTTTTGTTTTCTAATTTTTGGTAAATAAATCTAGATTCACTATGTTATGGCTAGTTTTTATTGTTCTGAATTTGAAATGTAGAGAAAAGCCATGGTTATTTGTGAGGAAGAAGTTCTATTTTGTGTATGAGGATACTTCCAAAATAATTCCAGACATTATATAGAAAAGTTGTAGTTTATAGCTAATGTTGTTGCATTAAAAGAACTTCTGATTTATTGAGATATTAACATAGGAACAACTTTTTTTTCCAAAAAGGAACCAATTTGAGGTTAAATCTCACAAACTTCAAAGGCTCATAAGAAAATTAAGCGGCACAAAGGCATAAGCTGGGACAGGCCACGCTTTTGCCTACCCTCTTTAATAGATAGTTTCACTGGATTTCTGCCTGCCTCAAATGGCTTCAAGTCAGACCATTTGCAAAACTGTAAAAAACAAAATTTATTATGAAAATGAAGGAGTGCCCTTAACTCAGGAGTGGGGAATCTAGGGCTCACAGGCCAAATTCGGTCCCCAGTTTGCAAGGATCTGGCCCCCAGGACTCCTCCCCGCCAGCATTGGGGAGCCTGTGCACTCCAGCCCCCGCTACTCCCCTTCTGACTAATTTTTCTGTTGGTTACCGCCCCCAACCTAAAAAAGGTTCGCCAACCCCTGCCTTAATTGGTACTACTTTGATAATAAGGCTATTTATAGTTATAAAATATGCAATAAGTACTTTATCTTTAGATGATCTCTCTTTGCAATGTCTGTTTCCCTCTCTTCTATCATCTCGCTTGTTCATTTCCTCCTCATCTCGGTCTAAAAGAAAAAAAAATTGGTGTTCAGTAAATTACATAGTAAATTACGTGTCTAGAACCACTACTTCAAATGCTTGTGATTGATTTTTAAAGGAAATACAATTTACACAAAAAAGTAAATCAGATTATGACATTTTCTTTCTAAATATGAAATTGAAAGGTAAAATGTCATTTAGCAAGATTATAATTAAAATACAACTGTGTTTTTTTTCCTTTTGGCTTACTTTGACACAATGCAGTAAAAGCTATCAATTTTACCTCAATATATTTTTCAAATGTTCGTACACAGGCTTGCTTTCCACATGGAAAGCTGAACAGAACGTTAGATAAGCTATGTTTAATATAGTTCAGTAACTACCATATAAGTTAGCAAGCGCCACAGAAAGTCATGCAACTTCTTCTACTCAGACTTAGGTATGTCTGTATAAGGAAGTATCCTTATATTTTTACAGTTATTGTTTCTCTTATTACAAAACTAGTATTGGTTACTCTCTTGGATATTTTACATAATGAACATCATCTCACACACAATGAAAATCATGTGTTTAAAAATTCTCCAAGATTCAAAAGTGATATTCAAATAATTCACACAAATAAGAGAAAAGGGTAAGATAGGTATTTTACTATAAATTCATTTGGTTGTGACACGTAGATTCTCAAAAACGAGTTAAAAGTTTTTTTAAACTGCTTTTTGTAAGGTATGAAATCTAGTACTAAAAACTTGAAATAAAATGGAGAAAAGTTTGGCAAAGCAGGGCTCATTTAAAGTATACAACATTGTATATTTGTGCCTTGGGCCCAGTTCTTGCTGGCAACAGGATCACCTCCCAATCCAAGTTTTAATACAAAAAGAAAAAAAGTTTTTCACTTTCATTGTGAAGAAAACTTTGAAAATCTGATCCAAGTGTAAACTGCTTCTCCAATATGCTGACAGCCTGATACTAGCTCTATGAAGTGAGCTGCCCCATGCAACATGTTCACTCCAGGACACTCTAATCTGAGGAGATCTGTCAACTCCTCTCCAACAAAGAAACACATATGTGCTAAAAGAATACAGTATGTCCTTCCCACTTGTCCTCTCCTATAGCAATGGGCGTGGGGGGGGGGAGGAGTGAGAGGAACAAATAGCCACTACTGCTGCTCCTGGAAAACAAAAGGTTTCATTCTATTGCTCCCACTTGTTTGGGAGGAGATGGACCCTGAATCCTCAGTCCAAGTGGACCCTCTAATTTCAGACACCCTAAACTGTGATAACCAAGGAAAAATCATAAAATACAAGCCAACATTTTCAAACTTGGGTGCATAAAGTTAGGCACTTAATGAAGCTTAATTCCTGATACTGACCGCTCACAACTATAACAAACAGTAATATTAGCGCATCTAATTATATGAAAACTTCTAATTTTCTCTAATTCTAAAGCTCTCAAGTTTGAAAAGTATATCTAGAGACAAAATAAAAACTTTTGAGGACGTCAAAAAACTTTCACATTATATACCATCATCCTCATCTTCAGCATCTTCTGCTTCCATTGGATCATACTCTTCCTGATTATTGTCATCTTCAATTTCATCTTCATCTTTAGTATCATCTTTCCTTCTGTCTTCTCTCTGTAATGAAAATGCCTAAAAATTAAGCAAACTTGGGCAATAGCAAAATGAAAAAAAATGCACCAGTGTTAATTAAAAACCGCAATACATTATGTATAGCCATTCAAATTTATGTCTAATTAATTTAAATCATTTTTACAATGACAGCTAAATGCTATTTTAAGCAGACACTTAAGAGAAAATGCATAATTGCAGACTTCTTAAAAAGTATCTCAGCTGTAGTTGTCTGACTCAGAAAAATTAATTAGCATAAAAACATTACATTTTGGAAATTGCAGAGTAAAAATGCAGAGTAAAAGGATTATTGCTTATCCAAACAACATTGTATATTTTTACATAAATTAATTTCAGACCTTTCTCTCTTCTTTATCTTCCTTCTTATCTTTATCATCTCCAGATTTTCTCCTCTTAGGTTTTGGATCATCATTATCATCATCTTTTTCTTCTTTTTTATCTTTTCTCTCCTCTTTTTTGCTCTTTTTTTCTTTTTTGTCCTCTCTCTCTGGAAGGGATATCAGTGCTTTGTAGATTTTGACACCAAAATCCCTTTGAAGCATTTCATTGAATAGTTCTGCAAACAATGAAACCTGAATAAAAAAATATGAGCAAGAGCTGATGAAGAGAGGCATGACATTAATATACTGTGTATCTAAATAAAAAAAGCCTAGTTTGTTTGAATATGGCCATCTGAAAAAGGAAAGTTAGAATTACAAAACATTTCTTTAAATACTGCAGTTCTTGGACTAATTTTTGTTTTGTTATACAAATTCAAACACGTATATAGTACTAGGAGGCAGATATTATGATTTGCCATTACCACACATACTTCATTTAAGCTCCTAAAGTTAAGAATGATGCAGAGCCTAACAACTTCAGGGCATGGGGAACATAGAAAGAGAATCAAAAGACTGTATAGTTAAAAGCAAGTTAACTGCAGAAAGCAAAAATAAAAGACAATATTGCCCTGTTGTACCACAGAAGAAAACAGTACTGGCATTTAGAACAAATGAATAAAACTGTATTTTTAAAAATGCAGATTTGCAATGCACAACACAAAAAATAACACAATCAAAGGTAATGAGCAAACTGTCAATTCACTTATCTATTTCTCAGAAAGCCTATGTGCATAATTTAAAGACTGCAAGATGGCTACAATTATAAATGTATTTAGAGTTAAAATCAGGCTTGTAAATTAGTCCACATAGCAAGATGTGACTATTACAAAAAGGGTTTGTATGAAAACTTGTGCAAGAAAAACAGCACCAGTTTGCTAGTTAGAAATAGAAACCTAAGAAAAATCAAAATATATCAAGAACATAAGGAAAATATCAGTAGCTCTGCCCTTGGAAAATGCTAAAAGAGGAAAGCAGACACTGGTAATTATAAACGAGTTTGAGGTATGATGGAGGAATACCAGAAAAGGAAGAACGAAATAGTCTAAAGAAGTTTGCAAATGGATAATGCATGCAGCAAACACTATCCAAAGAGGCCAAAAACTATTAGCAATTCTAGCAAAGCAATTAAGTATGAATTCTGAGCCAAGAATATGTTAAATAAAATACTAGAGAGAGAGAGAGAGAGAGAGAGAGAGAGAGAGAAATCACAAATGTCTGAAAACTATTCTTGTCATTTAAATAGAACCAATATGGTATTTACCAACAGCTACCAAAATGTTATATCTGAAATACCAAGGTATTTCTGTACACCAGTGTTTCCCAATTGGTGCTCCGCTGAACTCTGGGGTTCCACAAAGCGAAAGTAGGGGTTCCATGAGGAGCCGGCACTCCCCCACCCCCTCTGAAAGAGAGAGAGCCGGCTAGCCAACTTCTTAAAGAAATAGCACACTTGTTTCCCGTTCCTCCCTGGCAACACAGAGGCGTAGCAAGGCGGGAGCAGAGGAGAACAGTTGCTCCCAGCCGGTACACTAGGGGGGGTGCCAGACGGGGTGACCCCACTTGACCCACAGTGGGGAGGGAAGCACTTCCCCTTCCCAAAGGAGCCAGAGCGCACTACCTGAACAACTGGGGCTGCAGCACTCAGCAACTTAGTTCTGTGGCCTTTCTGCGCGATGGGGGGGCAGAAAGTCAGGAGACCTGGGGCTGCGCAGCTCCAACTGTGCAGGCAGCGTGCTCTGCCTTAGGACTCCCTGCACCCTCCTCCCCGCAGGACAGCATCACGGAAGTAAGTTGCTGGGGTGCAACAGCCCCCCCTGCCACCCACCCCAGCACCCTGGCCCCAGCACTTAGCAACACCCTGTCATCCACCCTAGCACTCAGCAGCAACCCTGTCCCCACACGCACAACTGGGACTACATTTGTGAGGCATGGGAGTTTTAGAGGGGTTTTTTTTGCATCTCACTTTTGTGGACCCAACTGACTTTTCTGTGGCTCAGTGACCCTTGACTCAAAACAGGTTCCCCGTCCCTCTCATATATAAAGACAATAGTAAAACCTTTTGAGTCTGACTTATTTTATTTCAAAATGAAGCCGGGCCAACAAGCACCCAATTGGGGCCAAACCCCCATCTCCCTGCAGCATCATAACACTTCTGCACCACCTGACCCCAATCTGAGCCTATCATACACTGGAACCCTCTGTCCTGAGCCTCTTACATCCCCAAACTCCTGCATCCCCACATCCTCAGTCTTCTGCCACAACACTCCTGCACCATCCACAGATCACAAATCTGTGTCCTGAGCCCATCATATTCACAACCTCCTTTCCCTGAGTCCTTCACATATCCAACCCAAACTCCTGCACTCTCACATCCACAAGCCTGTGGCTTGCTTAGCACCCCAACCTTCCACCTGAGCTCAACACTCCCCAGCCTGGAGCCGCCTCCCCGAGCCAGCATCCCCTTCTCCTGCATCCAAATTCCCTCCTAGAGCTTACACTTGACACCCCTTCCCACACCCAAATCCCTCATTCCCACCCTAGAGCCTGCACCTCCTATGTCAACCCAGTGAGAGCATATAAGGGCTGGAGATAGCAAGTGATGGAGAGGAAGGGAACAGAGAGGATGGGGCCTCAAGGAAGGAGTGGGGTCTTGGGAGAAGGAATGTGATTTTCATGCACTGGTGTGTCATCCCCCCCCCTTTTTTTTTTGCTTGACAAACCTAGGGATTCCTTGAAATTCTGAAAAGGGTTCCATGGCCAAATAAAATTGGGGAACACGGTTGTACACTAAAAAAGGGCAATAGTTACAGCTACCTATGAGAGTGATCAGCAGAGATAGCTATCTAAGGTCCATATGAACTGATTATATACTAAAATATGCAAGACATAATATTCTTAACAAGAAATGTGTTAATATACTTGTCATAGCAATATGTAAGATATTCATGAGTACAGAAAAAACACCCAACTGGCCTTTCTGGTATCAGTAAAAAGTTTGCTTTGACAGAGAAACAAAGGGAGAATTGAGAGCCTGTGTGTTTCTTTTAGAATTTACAGAGCAATCATATTGCAGTGAAATGTGGCATCAATACCTAGACAGTTTTTCCAACTATGTACTAAGGATTAAACTTCACTTGAAATTTCTGTTCTTAAAACAGTACCTTAATAGTTAGAATTTCAGAATGTAGTTGCTAAAATGAAAACAAGGTTTCAGTTGCAGCAGAATTTGAAATAATATATTATATAATACTTTAACTGCAGCAGAAATTAAGTAAGCATTTCTGGATTAACACAATTTATTCAAATATCTGGTGCAATAACTTGGTATTTCTCAGTACAACATCCTACTACAGTAAACTCACTAAAATTGGATTTCATTATGTTATATTAGATGCACAAATTACCTCAAAAGAATGCTCTTTGTTATCCTCCAACCTGTAATCCAGAAGAACACTAAGAGACATAATACTACAATCAAACTTTCCACTTTTTGCTGCCCAGTTAGGATGTACAATGATTGCTGGCTCGTCAGGCAAGATATACCGTCTCTCTCGTCGTTGACGCTCCATTTCTTCCTGACGTTTCCTTTCTTCTTCCTAAAAAATAAAAACACTTCAGAAATTAAATTCTGAAATAAAAGTCTCACTGCTTTCCACAGAATGAATAAAAAGCTTAAGAGCTGGGAAATTCATTAACAGATTGTGGACCAGTGGCTCCGAGAGAGAGAGAGAGAGACAGAGAGACAGAGAGAAGGGATAAAAAATGTTATCCTCTACTACAGAAATCCTGTTAGCCAAGGTCAACATTCCATAGGATATGTAGGAGTAACACACAGTGGGACACACATTGCTGATCTTCTGTAAGGAGCAATGTACCAATCCTCACTAGCACATGTTGCTAACTCTTCAGTGCACTTGCTTAATAGCTAGAATGGGACAAAATTATGTCCCTTAAGGGATATGGTATACAACCTGGCAACTTAGCAGATACTCCAAGAGCTCTTTTGAGCCCTTATTTCTTACATGAGAAGAGCAAAAGCTTCCAACAGTACATACACCCCCAGTGAATATATGCAGCACAGATTTACCTTTAGATGGTAAACGGTTGGTTTTCTTTCTTTTCTTTTTTTTTTTAAACAGGGTATCATGCTATATCTCCAGATACAACTGCTATGTACAAAAACAGGAATGGGTCAGAGGCTGCTGACCCACAGAAAAATGAGTCAGGGGCTGCACCCAAGTGAGAAGCAAACAAAGAGGGCGACAAGAAAAAACACCCATGAATACTCACTAACATGGCTCCAGACTGAGAAGGAGCAAGGCACTCCCCACATTCCCCTCTCACACCAGAGCCTAGGGACCCAGGCAAGTAGATTTTGTATGCTCCAGCCCATGGTGGGGTGATGGAGAAGAGGAGGGACTGGAGTGCCAGCATGGGCTCCTCAATGCTGGAGGAGAACCCTGAGCCTCAGGGGTCAGATCCAGGTAAGCTAGGGGCTACATTGGGCCCCAGGCCTGAGGTTCCCCATCCATGTACTAAAAGATATTAAAAGAATGGTATATTTACTTTTGACTACAGTAAATTCCATCTTGCAGCAAAAAGCACAGATTTTAGTTTTTCCAACAGCTAGGCCAAGAATATGAAGCTGTCATAGGAGACCTGCATAATCCCTCAAAAAAGGACCCAGCTAAATTTTCAGGAATGGCACTAGGGATATTAAAATTAGATCAGTCAAGAAGGGCACTTCTGCTTTGAAATGTAGCACGAGCCCTAGGCTGTTGCTACAGTTCAAAGGTGGAAGTGCCACCTGGCATTCCGCCTTTGTAATGTACAAGAGCCTCAGCGGGGACTCTTGTATATTTCAAAGAAGGAAAGCCTCTGCGGTGTCCCCGCCCCCTCTCATGGAGCTGGAGCGAACCAGCTTTTAAGCCAGCTTCCCCTACTACCCCCTCTTCTCCCCCCCACCTTGCTGCCTCTCTCTGATAGAGGTGGCAAGGGGGGGCGGGGGGGGAAGCGACTAGTCCACTAGTCGATTATATCCCTAGACGGCACTAAGGAAAAAGGAGCCATCAACTTCCAAACTGATGAACAAGGATCACTCACAACATAAAGGTCTCCAACACCAAAGAATTCACTGGACTTATGGTGCCTCACTGCTTTCTTGAGAGCTAACATTGAGTCTTGGGGTAGGGAAGATTCCTCAATGCTACACAATCTTTTCTTGAGCTGTATAAAAAGGAACAGAGGCATCTACCTAAGGAGAACTCAAATGAACCATCTAAGATGGGTCTGTGAGTCACAGCACTGACCAATTCCCGTCTCAGAACAGGGTTTTCGGGAACAATTTTGCCTGTGGCAGTGAAGGTTTCAATTTGGGGCAGTTTTGAGGTAAGTCTTTGGCACCAAAGAACCAGACAACTAGTTTTCTGGTGCCAGAGATGCACTTTACAGAGATGCCAAGTCTCTGGTGCCAAAGGCATCCTACTTGGTTCTTTGCTTAAAGCAAGATTTCCAATGTTTACAAAAGGACAGACTTGAGCATTCAGTGTTTGTCATCTACTT